AAGCAGGGGGAGTGGGAGAGGGAGAAGCAGGCTTCCCGCGGGACAGGAGCCCGATGCGGGGCTCGATCCCAGGACCCCAGGATCATGACCTGAGCCGAAGGCAGACGCCTAACGACTGAGCCACCCAGGCGCCCCTCCAAACAGGTTTTCACAGGGCCGCTCTCGACTCCCCACCACCAAGGGCCTTGTGCAGTGCTCGGCTCCACTCACCCCTGTAACGGCTAGTAAGTCACCATCCATAGTGACGGGACAGTTACGTCATTTCTGAGTTTTACCCTAAATTCACTTTATAAAGGAACCCCGAAGTTCCCCCCTCTCATCAACTTTTTTATAAAAACAACCTGGTCTGGGTCCAACAGCCACGTCTCTTGTTTCTTAGAACCGCGTGGGAACAAAGCCATCCCGTCTGGGGGCCGCACGCGGGGGCCACGGCGCTTACCCGCTTACCGGGAGCTGCCGGGGCAGCTGCTCGGAGACTCTCTGTAGGAGGGCGCGCGTGGGCTTCTGCAAGCAGAGCAGGGCCAGCCGCACCGTCCTGTCTCCCCGCAGGAGCAGGCCCTTCGCCAGGAGGCCGACCCGCATCACGCCCTTCAGGACCCGAGCTGAGGACGAGCCGCCGCTGTGAAGACAAGCCCACAAACGTGTGAGACCCACAGGGGAAGGGGGTCAGGAGAAGGGGCTGCCGCCAGGGTCTCTGACTCCTGCGCTCACGGGCTCCTTGCCGGGCCTCCGCCTCAGCTTCCCCATCTGTGAAATGGGCACGTGCCCCTGGGAACAAGCCCGCCAAGTTGCGTGCTCAGTAAGGGCTGGCGGTTACTCCTTCCTGATAATCTGCATTCTGAGGAAGGCCACCAATGGCCATCCCTGTGGCCCCTGGTCCTCAGCCAGCTGGATCCGCCCGCAGGGGCCCTGGGCTCTGTGTCCCTCCCGAGTGTCTCTGGGGTCACTGTGCCCCCCACCTCAGCTCCTTGGCTGGGAGGCCCGTGCAGGTGCTCTGCCGGGAGCCTGCCCTCTCGCCTCCAGCCCACGTCCCGAGCCTGGCGGTGCCCCGCCCCGCAGCGTCCTGACTCGGGTCCCTGCTCGCTCACCCCTCTGAAGCCCAGGCCAGCTTGACTGCCTCTGCCTCGACATGTCCCCTCCCGGTGCTGCCCCTCTGCAGGTGGGGGGGTGGGGGACACCCCAGCTTCTCCCAGCCCGACCCGCAGCCTCCCTTGGTCCCTGTGCTCCAGCCCACGAGGCTGCTTCCCTTGCCGGGCCCTCTGCCTGGACACGCTCACCAAGTCCCCCCTCCGCTCCAGGAGCCACTGCCGCTTGCTTTGTGACACTCCTCGGGATAGGAGGGGCCCTGGTTTTTAAAAATTCACGTATGTATTTCTTTTTAGGTAGGCTCCATGCCCAGCGAGGAGCCCAACGTGGGGTTTGAACTCACGACCCTGAGATGGAGACTCAAGACACTTAACCAACTGAGCCACCCAGGCGCCCCCATTTATGTATTTCTTGTTGGTTTCTGGACCACGTGCACCAGAGCCTAGCGCTGCCCGAGAGGACTGGGCCAGGAGGCCACCAGCAACACGCAGACGGGAGATGGCTGGACTTGGGGGAGGACCAGGGAGGGCAGAGCACAGGGGGGCAGGGGTGTGTGTGGCGGGGGGGGGGCCTGCAGACAAAGAGACTCCGGCTCGTCAATCAATCTGGATCCCAATTCACACCCACTGTAAAACCAAACAGCCCTAAACCCACAGTCTGATCTCTGTGGACCCTGCTTATCTGACGCTGTTGAAGTATAACGGCATTGTGGTTTTGTGAAGTCAAAACAGGAGCCCTCGCTGTTCAGGGCCGGCTCCTGGCCTCCCGGACAGCTCCCTTCTAAGAGATCATGTAGGACAGGGGACCACGGTCCAGGGACCCGCATCGGGCGCTCAGTGGGGCTTCACTGTTCCGTCAGCTTGTGTGGGAGAGAACCTCCACGGTAAGCGAAAACCCCCAGTGCTAACACGCTCTTGGCCACAACTGAGTACGCGACGGTTCACTATGACGCTCTGTAAAAAACGCATTTCCGTGTCTTTGAAAAATAAAGGACCTCACACGCGATTTGACGTAAATGTCATGTGAAAGCTTAAAGAACGAGGTCAGCTTTGTTTTTTGAGCCCACGGCGGTTGCACGGTTTAGGGGAGGGGGAGCGTGGGGCCGTGAAGGGGCGGCTCCCAGACGCACCACGTGGAGGCTGACCTGCTGTCGTGGGGTCACGCGAATCTGCAGGTGCTGAGCTGAACGCCACGGGCGTGCTCACACGACACTTGCGACAAGCTGGAACGGGACTCCGCCATTTTGCGCAAGGGTGCCGGGGGCAGCTGGGTGCACCCCTGCTTCTCTATCACGCGTGGGTGGAAGAGGGGCACTCTCCTAGGGGAGGCCATAGGTTTGAGCCCAGGGGACAGGACGACTCCCTGGAGCTCACTCACGAGGGGCACACGTGCGCTCCCCCAGGGCGCAGACACTGCGGTAATAAAAGGCTGAGGGGTACCAGCCGGACGCAAACGGGGGGACACTGCAGGACCCCTCTTGCCTGTGCGTGCGGTGTCCAGGACGGGCTGAGCCGCAGGGACAGGAAGTGCAGTGGTGGGTGCCAGGGCGGGGGCAGGGGCGCGGGGAATTGAACAGGACAGATCTCCGCATCAGGGGGTGAAAGAGCCCTGGAGGCAGACGGTGGTGATGGGCACACCCCCGCAGGCGTCCTCCGTGCCCCTGGCCCGTCCGCGCGAACGTGGCTGAGAGGGTAAGTGCCACGGTGTGTTTCAGCATCATGCAAACCTCTCAACAAGGAGACAAAGCAGCCACCCAGAGAGAAAGGGCTTGGAAAAGGGGACTTCCTCCCGGTCACAGGTCGGGGGCCTCCCCACCCGGACAGTCACGGCGCCTGGAACAGTGGCTCACGCAGGCACTTGGTGGCATCTCCTGCTCGGGGGGCCCTCACCGCCCCCGGAGGAAGGGGACGGGTCAGAATCACCCTTAATCTCCATTTCACAGATGAGAAACAGACTGGTTCACCCTTCGTAAAGGACATTTCTAGATGCACCTTCGATAGGAAATGTCAATTTGGGGAACGTTCTGTGGCGGGCTGGAAAGCCCCAGAGACCTCGAAGAGCTCAAAGCCAATCAGGGTGAGGCGCCTCTGCCCTCCTGCAAGCCACGTCCTGTCCAGAACCCCGACCCTCCACCCGGGGGGGGCCTCCCTGCCCCGCTCAGTCAGCCCGGGCCTTGGGAACAGAGTGACCCCCACTACCTGTGCTCACCGCCCGCGTGCTCTGGGCTTGTGGAGTTCTCCTCGGCCAGCGTGTCGGACACCAGCTTGAGGGCGCGCTCCGAGTGGGACACGGCCCTCTGCACGGCCAGGAGCTCCTCCTCCGTGGGGTAGATGGTGGCGTGCTTATACAAGACGTGCCGGTCGTCGCTGGACTCCGGCCGCCGCGCACGCTGCCGGGAAAGGTGGGCTCGTCAAGGGCAGGCTGAAGGGCCCCGGGCGCCCGGCGGGCAGGGGGCAGGGTGAGTGTCAGCCCCGCTGAGGCGCGGCGCGTGCAGCAGGGGGCCCTGGAGAGCCCCGGAGTCAGGCTGGCTTTGGGGGTGACAGGCAAGGGATAGCAGAGAGCCAGGCGAAAGAAGGATGGGGACCCACGAGGCAGTGAACCAGTGAGGATGTGTGACCGCGTGGGGCCTGTGGGCTCCCCTTTGGTGATGTCCTTACATTTCTGCAGCTCTCCCCCTCAGCAAGGTGGGAATGGAAGGCTCCCATCCAACCCCGGGCCGGGCCTACCCGGACGGACGCTGAGGGCTCCGCAGGGAAGTGGGGCCCCGGCTCGGGGTTCCTGTTGGTGACCAGTGTTGGGGCGGGGCTCTGGCCCGCAGGACCTGCCAGTTCCCAACCCTGGGCACCTCTCGGGGGTCTTGGTTCAAAGTTGTGTTCCTCGCTCCTGGAGGATTCAGGTCTTTCTAGCGAGGGCCTGAGTAGCTCACCCGCCCGCAGGGCCTCCACCGAGGGAGGCATTTTGGCACAAAGACAAGGCCACCACCCACCAGAGGTGAGCTGGCAGGCGCCCCCGGCCTGCTCGTGAGGGAAGGAGAGTGCTGGTCGGGTGGTGAGGGTCCGGGGTGCTCATCCGGGGCCTGGGGCCCCTCCTCCGGTCGCCTCCTGCACAGCTGCTCGTGCCTGCAGGGAACCAGGGAAACAGGCTTCTCTAAGCGGCTGTGGGACCCCCAGGCTGTGGCATCAGAAGCACCCCTTGTCCTGGGGCTGAGCAAGGCTGGGGCTCCAGGACCACCAGGGAGAGATGCCGCCGCCTGACGGGGCCCCAAGAGCCCAGGACACGGGTCCTACACCAATGCCCGCCATGGGCCAGGGAGACTGAGGCGAGGCGGGCCTAGAGGACAGAGGCCAAGGGCAACAGGTGGGGAAGGAGGGGACAGCTACAGCCCCGGGTCTGTCCTGGGCTTTGTTCCCCAGCTCCAACACTGCCCGGATCCTCCATCAATCAGACACCATGTCAGAAAACGCTTTGAAATTGCTCCAAGGGGTGGAAGAGGACATGATGAATGTGTGGGTGGTCAGGGGACACCAGGGTCGGGGAACCCAAGGAACACTAAGGTTTAGGGGAGACCAGAGGTCAGGGGACACTGGGGGTAAGATAGACACAGGAGGTCAGGGGGACACTGGGGTCAGAGAACATACGTCAAGGACACACAGGAGGTCAAGGGACACCAGGGGTCAAGGGAACACTGGGGTCAGGGTGCATGGAGACCCAGGGCATCCCTGTGACTGGGGGCCCAGAGCGCCTGCCCATGGTTGCGGGGACTGTGCTGTCCTATGTTTATGTTATGTGACACACAGGTCCTCAGTGTGACCGTCTCCCCCCAAGGGCAGTGTCCCGTGGCCACATTGCAGGGGTGAGCCCCTGGGTCCCTGCACCCGAAAGCGAGCAGAGGGTGTTCGGGGGGTGAGGGCGGCCTGGCAGGGACCCCAGCAGGGACCCCGCATACCAGCACCGCATCTCCTCGAGCCGCTTCCTGGTCAGCTGCCTCTGCTTCCTCAGCCTGGCCTCCAGCAGCTTCCGAGCTCTGTGGCTGGGCTTCACTGCAAACGGGAGGTCAGGGTCCACCTTTTTCTGGAAAGGGCAGGAAGGGCTGTGAGATGGGAGACCTTCATTTCGACAAGTGCCAGGAGCCCCGGGAGCCCCCATGGCCACACCCTTCTGCGGGCTGACTCAACAGTCGGGGCTCCATCCCCCAGAGTCCTAACACTCGGGACCCGGGCGCCACAAAACAGGGAGCTTCCACGGGGAGCACGGCCGCGATGCGTGCGCAGCCAGGGAAGAAGGAAATTCGGCCCCACCGTGAGACACCCTCACTGACCACGGATGGGTCGCGGCAGAGCCAACGCCAAGTGCGTATTTCTAAGCAAGCTAACTCAGGGGAAACACCATCTGCGTGAAATCCAGCAATCCGCGTTTTCAATAGCACTGCAGATTCTCTTGCTGAACGTAGTTTTTGGTGCTTCCTTCATCATTCACAAGGCGCAGTGCTGTCCAGGGACCATTCACTGCTGGCAATGGCCCACGGGTCCATCGACGGATGGACCGATACACACAACGTGTCCCCCACGCACCGGAGCGTCCCTCGGCCACAAGCAGGAGCGAGGCGCCCACACGCGCGGCCCTGGGGACGGACCCCGAGCCCACGACGCTCAGGGAGGGACCCGGACACGGAAGGCCACACGGGGTGTGAGTCCATTTATGTGAAACATCCAGAACAGGCTCATCCACGGACGGGAAGGGGACTCGTGGGACAGTATGTGGGGGTGACTGCTAATGGGGATGGGGCTTCACTTTGGGGAGATGGAATATTCTGGAACTAGAGAGGTAAGGGTCACAGCTCTGTGAATCCACAGTAGTAAGAGCCATGAAACCGTACCCTTTATGTGGGTGAGTCGTGTGGCGTGTGAACAACACCTCAATGCAGCAGCTAAAAAGGGGGGGTGTGCACGCGTGATGACGTGCCCACCGCCCCGTGAACCTATGAGGGGAGGCCTGGGGAAGGCAGCCGACCGCCCCTCCCCTGGTGGAGCCCACAGGGCGGAAGGGCCCACGGGCCACCCCCTGGGCGTCCCGACAAGGGCCCTGCCGGTGCTGGAGGCCTCAGCACCCGTCACCCCGGCTCCTCGGAGGACCGGCTCCCAGGGGACACTCAGCCTGGACAGCCCAGCGCCCCCGCCGCAGCAGCGGCCCCTGGGTCACGACCTCCAGCCCCCAGGCTCCCCCCTTGCCCCCGCACCCCGGCTCAGCTGCATCTGTGAACCCGTTCCGTGCGCTCGGGGACCCCTCCAGCAACAAGCGGGCCTGGAGCCGAGACGCCACGGGAAACACAGCTAGTGCTGGGTCTCCTGCAGGCTCCAGGCAGCGGGAACGCGGGGGACAGGCCCGCGGGGCCCGGGGCGCCTGTCGGGGGCACGGGGAGGGGTGCGAGAAGCCTGGCCGGTCAGCCCCGCCGCCCTCGCCCAGCCCCGCACACCTTGCGCTGCAGCAAGTGCCGCCGTCCCCGCACGTGCGTGTCCCTGGCCGTGGCGTCGCCGAAACTGCACTCGCACAGCCTGCACTGGAACCGGACCACCTTGCCTTCCTCGTTGCGCACCTGAGACACAGCGCCCCGCTGAGCTGGCCGCTGCCCACGCGGTGCGTCTGGCCCCTGGGCAGGGGCACCCTCCTCCCCTCGGGGGCACCCAGCCTTCCTGGGAGGCCTGCGTGCTGGCGTCCTGCCTGCCGAGCGGGCTTCGGGGGAGCCGGGGTGTCACCAACGCACCCTCCCGTGCCCCGGCTGCCCTCGGCCACTGTCCCGTCCCGTCCCCCCACGCCCCGCCCCGCCCCGGGCGCGGACACCCATGGCCTGTCCCGCACAGCCCCTGCCTCTGTTCCGTCCTGAGTTCCACCCGTCACAGGCCCTGCTGGGCTTCCTGAGGCTTTTATGCACCCGATCGTCTCCTCAACTCTGAAATGCCAGGGCTGCCTAGGCAGGCCTCCTATCTGGGGTGGCAACTTTTCACGGGACAAAACCAGAAAACACGCTAATGCTCACACTTCCTTTCAGCCACCGAGGGGGAGCCTGAGAACTAGGGAAGTGGCCAGGGGAGGCGGCTTCCAAATCTGGTTCTAGAAGCTGTTCCAGGCAGGCCTTGCAGGCTCCGGGCATAGGGGCGGTGCCCACGGAGGTTGCACACCGGCTCCTGAAGCCCAGGATCCCGTGCCTCTGTCTGTCTCAGGCCTTCCTTCTCAGATCTGAAACCCGGTGCCTGGACCTTCCAGTGAGTTCCGCAAGACGTTACGGCTCACTGTGGACTGCCCGTGGACAGGTGTGTACATCTCAGATGGAGACCCGGGGCGCGGTCTTGAAGCCTGAGCCCTGCTGGAGTCCTTCACCACAGCCTAGAGGGGGAGCAGGGTACACGCCGACGGCCCAGCTGCCTGGCAGTTACCTCTTCCACATAGTCTGGGCCCACTGGCTGCGCATCACAGCTTCCAGAAGCTTCTGCAGAGTCTCCTCTGGCGGGCGGATCTCTGGGCCCATCTGGTGCGGGGTGTGCCCGTTTGCCCTTTGGGGCCCTGCTGCTCGCCGCCTGAGGCTTGGAAGGCCCTGGAAGGAAAAGCTGGGCTGCTCATGACCTGCTCCAGCCAGAAACCAGGGCCGGCTTCCGGTCCGCCCGCATCAAGTGTGGAATGCGATGCAAACCAAGGTCTCCCACTGCGCATTCACCCCCTTGTGACATCAGTCAGATTCCCGGTCCTGAAAGACCCCTTCCGTGCCAGCTTGGGTCGCAGCTGAGAGCACCAGGCCCACGCAGCATTTGGTGCCCACCTGAACACGTCCACGGGGAGGCCCCGGTGGCAGGCCCCTCGTGGAGGAGCCCGTGGCCGCACCACTCTGCAGCCCCTAGGTAGCCGAAGATGGACTTCCAGGTGGACCCGGGGTCATGGTCAAGCTGGCCCCCTTCAGCAAATTCACTGGGCGCCAGAGGGGAGACGGGTCTCTGTTACCACACTGCTCTCTGGTTTGGAGTTCAATATCATGTGGTGATTCAAAACACAGTGCTGCTGAGGCTCAAAATAAATCCTCCTCCCCTTCCTGGGCAAAGCTCAGTGGTGGAGAGCAGAGCCCGTGGGGTGGCCCTGGGTCTGAATCCCACCTCCACTATGGATGAGGTGGCCCAGGGCCAGATACGTGACCTTGCCTCACCTCTGGCTGTCCCTCTGCAAACCGGGATTACGACAGAACCTACTTTCCAGAAAAGAGTCGCGGAGGGCAAATCAGGAATGCCGCAAAGCAGTCAGCGGAGTGTCTCCCACGGACCCTAGCTGTTGCCACTCAATCCGCCCCACCAGGCAGGCCACACACAGGGGAGATGGGGCTGCAGGTGGGGGGCCAAGGAGCCCCCCTCAATTTCCTGAGACCCACATAACTCATCGGAGCCCTGAGCACATGTTCACCCTGAGCACTGGGGCGTGAGTCATGCTGCCACCGGACTACGGGCTCTGCCCACGCTTCCCAAGGGTGTGGCCCGAGGTGGCCAGAATGTGGGAGAGAAGGCGTGCCTCTCACCATCCCCACCCTCCATCCAGGGCTTAGCCCCTCTAGAGAGAGGTGACGGCTCTGACGCATGCCCACAGTTAACAGGTCAAGTGCTTCTTTGAAATCCCAGCAGGAGGAACGAGTCAGAGCGTGGGCGTGGGGCTGTGACACGTACCCACGCTCCTGGCCAGTGCTGGCTTGCTCAGGGCGCACACGCCGGGGCCAGCAGGGGCTGTGGGCTTAGCAGAGGCCATGGGGGGACTCTCCGTGGCGACGGGGGCCGGCTTGCTGGTGCAGGTGGCCTGGGCCGAGCTGGAGTCCCCCAGCACTGGTTCAATGGTAGGGATGGGCTTCCCCAACTTAGTGTGCAGCTTCAAGACCTGGAACAGACCCAGGCCCCCTGTCAGGGCCACCACCGAGCCTGATCAGACTTCCTCAAGAGGCGGGCGCCTGGGTGGCTCAGTTGGTTAAGCGACTGCCTTCGGCTCAGGTCATGATCCTGGAGTCCCTGGATCGAGTCCCGCATCGGGCTCCCTGCTC